ATGTTAAAACTTTAAAAGATCAACGTTCCAGATGTGTTTCAGAGTGGAATCTATCGACATGTTTGCAGGCAACAGAACAAACAACACAAACGAACCACAGGCGGATCGTTAAAAGGCCTCAAAATAAGGAAACACGCACTTTATCTGAACAAAGTCAATAAAACCGAGCCGTGTTTTCAGATCAGAGCTGCAAACCTTCAACCACATCTTTGAAGCATTAAAGCTGGACACGCCACACGAACTTAACGAGGCAAAAGCGATCCAACACCATCAGAACATGAGGAAGTGATGGGAGCAAAGCCAACAATGTTTCAATTAAGATGGATTCAAGTCTTAAAGAAACACATCATAACCATAATCATTACTTCCTGACTGACGGTCAACCTGCTGACTAATGTGATCTCCGGCCTGACCTCACCTGGGACATGCTCTCCTCCGTAGGTGATGTTGACATCATAGAGGCCTGGTGTGTAGGGAACGTACTCCACGCTGCAGCTGCCGTCTTTGTTGTCTTTGCACGACATCTTGGACTCAGACGGACCCTCCACAGTGATGCCGAGGCCACCGATTCCTGCCCCTCTGTGGGAAGTCACACCATCGTGAGGTTCTAAGGCTGGTAAAGTAAAGTGAGCAGACTTTTAAGGTCAGATAATGTGAAGCACCTTGTGATGATGTTGAAGGTGTTGGTCTGGTCTGTCAGGGCCTGATGAAGTCCTGGGCCGGTGGCCACCACCCTGCTGGAGTCACACCCCTCAGTAACGGACACTCTGAAGGGGCTCTGGGGAACCGGCGTGTCATCGTAGAGAACATTGACGCTGTGGACACCTGGGGGGATCAAACCAGAAGGCGGATGAAACAAACAGACTCCAACAGGATTAGAGCCCCAGTCTCTGCTCACAGCCTCACCGTTCTCAAAGGGGGTGTACTCCACGCCGTAGGTCCCATCCGCTCTGTCTGTGACCACGCACTCCGTCAGAGCTCCAGACGGGTTCTTGACCTCAGCCTTCACATGGTCCCCCCCTCGCCGGCTCAGAGGACGGGCGTCCACTGTGAAATCTGTGGTGGCTTCCCTAAAAACGTCTGCAAAGGAGAACTAGACTCATTACGCTCCCGTATTAGGGACATCATCCCTCCAACAACATGGTCAAACTGTAGAAAGTGCACCTTTTCCTTCAACCCCAGGTCCAAACACCTTGACTTTGGACGTGTCCACAGCAGGGTCCACCATCACCTTGGCTGGGAAACCCGGGACGGCTTTGCCGCCGTACTTCAGCATCAGGGTGTACATGCCGGAGGTCAGGGGGATGTAGGTCACCGTGTACGTCCCGTCCTTGTTGTCCACAACCTCCGTCTTTGCCTTCACACCTGCGACATGGAGCAGAGTCACAGAACACTGCAGATAACTTTGGAACTGAATCCTGCTGTAACCTTCTGGCCCAAAAGCTCCAAATGTTCGGTTCTGGTTAACGATTCATGGATCAACAACTACCCTCACTAACCATTCATTAATTTTTCTATTTGTCAATAAAGGGAAACTTTAAAGGAATAGTACACCCAAAACATGATTAGCCTTCATTTTCTACTCACCCCCATGCTGAACAACACTCTGGAGTACTTTTTTGATAT